GGCGGTCTCGGGGACTAGGGGCTCTGCGGCCAGCGTTTCCCGCCCGCCACCCACTCCGCCACGCGCTTGCGGAGTCTTTTCGTCCCCTGGCCAAGAGATCCAGTCGGTTGGGACCAGAAGGAGGCTTTCGTTTAAGGGTGGGTGCAGCACTAAAGTCTGGAGTCTTGTGGTCCGCGCGCCGCAGAAGTGCCTTCAGTTTTGCAGGGAGGAAAGGGAGCAGCGAGTGCACGGAGTGATAGTAACAACCAGTGTTCTTTCCACGCTCTCGCTGTGTGCCCGGCACTGTTCGGAGCCGCTTTTCTGCCTTTGATTTGATTGTCGCAGTGAACCGGCGAGGTGGGTACGGCTGTCCTCCTTCCGTAGCGGCCCAAAGCAAGGGTCTGGAGAGCGGGGTCACAGGCACGCACGGGAAGGGCGGGGATTTGCTGACGCCGGGCCCTCTGACTCCGAGTCCTCCGTTTCCCAAGCCTGTTTTATTCTTTGCCCCCAGAGCACTTGTCCCTCGGGACAGCATCAGCCTCAAAAGGCCACCTGCCGAGCAGGCTGCAGCGGCATTTGTACTTGGGCTAGTTCTGGGCTTCCAGGGAGACAAGGGTTGGTAGTGGGAATGTGACAAAGGAAAAGGGTTTGGGCTGCTTTTCTACGTGTATTGGTACAGGCCGTGGGTAGATGTGCCGCCACAGTAACTTCTGGAAAAAAGTAGGGAAAACGATGAGTAAGTGCAAATGAACATCGACTGTGTTCCTCATCGGGTTTGAAACTCAGATTGGTGATGGGAAATTCCCGCCAGCGGGAAGTTAGGCTCCGGTTTTAGACGTTGAATTTTTTTTTCTCTATTTTTTTTTTTTAATTGGAGGAGGCTTTTGGAGAAAGACCTTGAGAAGATTAACTTTATAGTTGAAGGAAGTGAGGTGCAAAGTAACGAGTTTCAGATCTCACTAGCATCTGTGGGTTAAAATACGGAATTGGAATGGAAAGGATGGCGCCCAGTTACGATATACATTTGATCTCTGTGGCGCGTGTCACCCTGGCTGAATTACTGGTGTTGGAGATGTCTTGGAAAAAACAACTGTGACAGTCGAGATCAGTGGATGAAAGTTTGTGTACACACTCCGTTTATTTAGCATTTACTCTGCTGGGTTCCTGTGTATATGCAGAAACAGGATGCTTTTCTTCAGACACCTGAGATTATATTTTTCTAGTAGAGTTACCATATTTTAGGTTATTTAAAAGCCAGCATACTCCTTGGCTTAGTGAAATAAATCTTCCTATGTTATAGAAACGCTTCTATAAACATAAACGTTTCTATAAACATGTTCTAGAAACTCTTTCTAGAGAAGCTGTTATGCGTTATAATGTAACAATGTTCCAAGTAACATTTACTTGGAACTTTCCTGGTGTAGCAATTCCGGTTACCTGCCCTTACAGACTGGTTAACTATTGAATTAGCATTTTAACTTAGACTTAAAGACGAGCAATTTAAGTTGTCAAATGGAAAAACACTAGAATGATCTGCATTTAAACTGTTAAAGCTTGAGTCCAGCTAATTTTATTACTGCTTGAGGCAAAATAGAATGAAATTACCTTACGCATTATTGAGGGAAAATTTTGTTAGTTTCTACTTAAAATATTAAAAAAAAATACAGTTCTTGGCCTCAGGCAAATGGTTATCACTTGGGCAGGAATATGCAAATTACGTGATTATTTCACAGACTGGTGCTCCAGCTGATCACTTGTGCATTCCTTTATCAGGAACTAGTGAGTTGAAGCAAATTGTGGTAATGTAAGGCTTGGCAAGGCCGCCCTACATCCCTACCATTGGAGCTGCTTACCGGTAGAAAAGTCTAGCTTTTGTACCTCTTACAGGTAGAAAAGTAGACAGTTCTTTGTTTAACTCAGTTTGCTGTTCTCAGCTGACAGTCCACCAGGGAACATTAGGAGATTTTGGTAATGTTGGTTTGTGACCTACTTAGAGCAGTTTTTCTTTTGTAACTTATGGTTTTTCTGTTTTTTTCCCCACTCGTTGTAGTATTTTGCATAGAAAGTGAACGGCAGAAGGCAGTTTTAAGTTTTTGTAAAAGTTTGTGAATTTTATATCGTCCTTAGGATTGATGGGATTAGTGTTAAAAGGTAAAATTTAACATAAAGCTTACATTTGTGACTAACGCCAATTTTACAATTTTTTATTTTTGTCAGTCTGATAAAAGTACCCACTTGGTCTTTTAACAGTTTGCAAATTGATTTTTTTTTGTTTCAGAATTGAAATAGGCATTGTATGTTGTTTGTTTAATTATATTGTGCTTTGGCTTCCTTGGACAAAACTATTACTGACTTTAGGAAGAAGAATGAATAATTGTGGAAGTAGGTAGGTCAAAAAAAAAAAAAAAAGATAAAGAAAGGAAGCCTCGTCGGCCCCACCAGTAATTTGTCCACACCAAGTGGGAAAAACCTTTGGTAGTGCAGTACTGCCCTTCCAAGCCCTGGAGTTAAATTTAGATTCAGCAACTGTTATCTTACATGTAATTGGTGATCACAATGTGGTGGCAAACTAGGTTTATAATTTTACATCTCAGAAATCAGCTATTTACTTTTTTTTTTTTTTTTTGAGTATTCCTGTCTGTCTTTAGTTGGGAAGGCCAAATTGCAAACCAGGTGATAAGGTTAAGAGTAGGAATAATTCATCCACATGAATAATGTCTTAACACATGAATAGTGTCAATATTCTGTCTTACAAGGTGGAAAGCAATTTCAAAAAAATTGCCCTCACAGCCTGTAGCTTAGTAAATAAGGTCTTCAGGCGACTTTGTGATAGAGTCCCTCTTCTGTCAGATGGCCAGTCTGTCATGTAATACGTTTTTGGTATGTGTGTTGTATCTTAGGTACTTAATAAAAAGTAAAGATTAAAGATGATTGAGATAAATTTGGCTTCCTGGATGGTATACACATCTACTTTGTCGGGGTGTAATCTTTGGTGGCTATTAACTTCATTGGCTATATAAAGCATCATTATGTATTTGTGTAACCCTTTGCGTATTTTGAAAGTGCTTTCACACCTGTGGTATTACCATACTTATACTAAGAAGTGAATTGGCGCTCTGAAACCAAATTGTCAAAACTGTTTTGAAGAGCATGTGGTACCTAATAGGGTTATTTAAACCTATTTCCTTAATTTAAAAAACTTAGAGGGATTTTGAATCTGGAATGTATGAATGTGACACCTACCTGCTCTTGCAGGCTTCTCCCGTATGCTGTTTATGCAAAGCTATAGGCTGTGCCTTAAGTACACCCTTGTTTCTGCACTCTGAGGTCGCCTAGATTTCCCTGGAGTGTATCCACCTGTCTTGATCATCGGTTTAAGAATTTTGCCAATGAGCATTAGTATTAACTGTAACATATATTTTCACTTGATGAGAAAGAATGAAGGTTTTTCTTCATGAACCTGAGTAGATTTTAACTTCGGAGTGGGGAAGGGATACACTGAGATAAAAGATAGTTGTTAAGTATTCTGATTCCTGACGTTTTTTTTTCTTTCAGGAAAATGGCATTTTTGAGATAAAATAAGATTTCTGGAAGAGTTGTCATAGAGAGGTCTTAACATACCCATTATCCAGTGTTAACATCTTACATAATCAAGGTACATTTAGCAGAACTGAGAAATTGACATAGATAAAATACTGTTAATGAAAGACTTTATTTGGATTTCCTTAGTTTTTCTAGTAATGTCCTTTTTCTGTTCTAGGATCCAGTTCAAGATGCCACATTGTATGTAGTCTCCTGATCTGTGTCAGTTTGTCTTGCCTCTTGTCTTTCATGACCATGACACTTGATCTCATTTGGATTTGATGTTATGATTAGACTGAAGTTACGGATTTTTGGGGGAAGAATACCACAGAAATTACTTTTATCACATATTGGGTGTCCATAATATATAACTGGTTGAATGAATTTAACCTGATGATTTGGTTAATCTGTCAGGTTAGTATTTTTTCCCCTTCACATACTATTCTTTAGATGCTAGTCACCAAGTCCAGCTCACACTCAAGGAGAGAAGGGAATTAGGCTTTACTTTCTAGAGGGAGGAGAATGTGAATTTGTGGACATATATTGAAGCTACTGTTAGTATTTTGGGGGAGATGCTTCGAAGCCAAGCAAATAAAGTTCCCCTCATTAATTTTACCATTTTAATGGATCTTAGACAAGATTCATTATTATTACTGCTATTATTACTGTTGAGTTCTAATGGTGATTTTTTTTTTTTATTTCCCTCATTCCTTCTACAGTATAAATTTCCTGTAAGGAAGATTTGTGTATTCTTCATATTTTTTCTTTTTTTCATTTATATCACTATATACCATCGGTATTAATTTTATTCTTTGGGTTGTAATCCACAATTATCCTTGCTATTTACTTATTTTTGATTATTTATTTTATATTTTTATAAAATATCGTCCAGGCTGGTCTCGAACTCCTGGGCTCAAGCAATCCTCTTGTCTTGGCCTCTAAAGTGCTGGGATTACAGGTGTGAGCCACTGTGCGGGCCACAGATTATTTTGTTGTTCATGTTGTTCCAGCTTTTTTTTTTTTTTTGGCTCTTTTGTCCTTTTGACACTTCCCTGTCTTTTCTATTTTTTGAAAGCATGTTTTTTCTTTCATTAATTACCAGTTATTTCAGGCTTATCTTGTATTTTGCCTATCTCAGGTCCAGAATTAACCATTTCTCCAGGGAGCTGTCAGGAAGAATTTTGAAGGA